TCACCTCAGCCTCCCAAAGGCGCAGGATTACAGGCTGAGCCACCGAGCCCAGCCTGAAGTCCCCTTTCACTTGACTTTATTTTGGTAAATATCATCAATTATGCCTTTTCTGTAGACCTCACAGCATGAATATAAGGATCCTATGAGATCACACACGCGAAAATGGTTTTATAGGGGCTGGCAAATGCAGGGGCTCAGTAAATGGATGTTGAATCATGATCTGAAGTGATCTAGTGGTACTAGATTTTTAGTTGAATATTCACCTTGGAAACTGTGTGTTTTTATTTTTGCAATAGCTACGCTATACTCCCAAGAGATTTTGTCAAATTGTGGGTGTCTTGAACTTATATTTTGGGAATGTCATTTCTTGACAGTTCTGCTGGGTTATTTGGGTAGCTTAAGCATTTCATACCTTGATTACCTGAATTGTGGGAAACTTTTCCTATGATTTCAAATGATTTGGGGGAATATGGTTTTAAAGACTCCATGGTATTTTGTGCTATAAATATGCTGTAATTGATCCTTTCCCCTGATATTAGACATGTAACTGGTTTTCAATATTTAATCAGTATCAAACCAATGCAGCAGTATTGTTGTACATTGATTTTTGTTCAGGTATCTAATTTTGTTTCTTGAGATAAATGTTTAGAAGAGAATTTATTGGATTCTATGATTTGAATTGTATATACCTCTTGAAATATGTTTTCAAATGACTGTCTAGAAACTTTGCAATCATTTATGCCAGGGAGTGTATGGCATCTCACTTGATTCTCCACAGCAGCAAGTATTAGCTTCTCTTTGCTTTTCCTATTTGATGCCCAAATGGTATTGGGTCCTCATCTGCTTTTCCTTTAGAAGTGAAAATGTTGTTATTTTCTGAATTACTTTAGAGACATCAAACGAGTCAAACAACTTACACTGTAAATCTTTTTTTTTTTCCACAGCGTTTGCATACCACCTGTCCCTGCAGAATGTGGTACGGAATCCACAGAAAGTCCAGTCTGATCTGAAATACCGATTTGGTTTGGATGATCTTCACATGGAGCAAATCCTGAATTATTCAGCAGAACTAAAGGGGGTACGCATGCTTGACTCTCTCTCACATTGTTGGGGCTCTCCTTGAGGGTGACTTGCAGTGGCTCCCAACCTTTTTGACATCAGGGACTGGTCTTGTGGAAGACAATTCTTCTATGGATGGAGGGGTATGGGAGGTGATGTACTGTCACACTCCTAAGGAGTGAGCACCTAGGGTTCTCGCTCCTATGAGAACCTAATGCCACTTCTGATCTGAACTTTGCTCCCCCCCCCACTCTGCTGCTCACCTCTTGCTGTGCGACTGGTTCCTAACAGGCCACTGACAGTACCAGTCCACAGCCCTGGGTTTGCAGTGGCCATAGGAGATTGTAGCCAGATAAGAGTAGCACTAAAACCTGAACTCCTTAGAGCAGATCTCTGCTCTCTTTCTGACTTTTCTAGAAGTGCCCCCTTTGTCTTACCTTGTCATTTTATTCCAGCACTCAAAGTCGGTCTGGAAATAATGTGACACTTGATTGCTCTGGGAACTAGTTATGATTTTTTGGTAGGTTAGATGTATTAAATGCATTTTTGATTTAACAGTGAATTTGAATTACAATGAATTGATCAGGATGTAATCTAGTCATGGGTCTAGGAACAACTGTATTGTAAGAGGCACCCTGATGATTGAGGCTTACCCACTATCTTAGGCTATACAACGGAAAAGGGGGGTTGGTTTACTGGACAGTGAGGCAAATAATGGGAAGGGGAGGGGAAGAAACATATGATGAATTAATGTTGTTTCATCATGTAGAAACTCTTATCTCAGGTGATCAGAGTTATTTGGGGGAGTAGCTCTCTTTCTGGTAGAAGACATCTTTACAAATAACAATTTCCTTTGTAAAAGTAAACTTCCTTTACAAAAGGGAAATTATGATTCTAATTTTAGGCAGTTGGGGGAGAAGTAAAGAGCTTTTCCTGCATCTGCTGGTTCCAGCTTGAGTTTTAGGGTGACATTGGTACCATTCACTGCTTTCCTGCCTTTTCTTTTCGAGGACACCTGCATTCCTTGGCTCTCGGCCCCTTCCTCCACCATCAAAGTCAGAAATGGCAGGCTGACTCCTTCTCACATCTCTTTCACTCTGACTCTGATATTTTTGCCTCCTTTCTCTGCTAACAAGAGCCCCTGTGATTACATTGGACCCACCAGATAATCCAGGATAATCTCCCATCTCCACCATCTGATTAGCAACCGTAATTCCATCTGCAACCTCAAATTTCACCTGCCATGCCAAATAACACCTTCATAGTTTCTGGGATTAGGACGTGGGCATCTTGGGGGACCATTGCCCTGCTTCCCACCCCTTGGATGACCCTTTACTCTCTGCATTAGCCTGTGTTCCTAGGCCCAGGGCAGACTTAGGAATTGTATGACTCCTTACACTGCCACTCTCCAGGCCTGCCTGGGCACCTCATCACAAGCTTCCCCTGTATGAGAATAGTCCTCCTATCCTCCTATCTCTGCTCCCAAAATTAGAAAATGGTTCATCTAAATCTATGTCCTCTGTGGAGTCCCCACGACCTCCCTCCAGCCTTGGCTCCCATTTCTTTAAACTTTCTTGATACGACATGTCCCAGGGAGCCTGATAACTGCATGTCTGTCTCTTATAGGCTGTGAGCATTTGGGAAGGGACTGGGTCATATCTTTTTAAAGTGATACATGGTATTGTTGATTATTATTTTTTAACTAGAGAAAAATAATATAGAACAAAAACATGAGGGACCCAGTAGCTCTGATAGTCACAAGTGAATATATTTCATCTGGGCTCTTTTTAAACTTTTTAAATTCAGGAGGTACATGCATAAGTTTAATACATGGGTATATTGTATGATACTGAGGTTTGGGCTTCCATAGAAAATGACACCCAAATAGTGAACATGTTACCCAATAGGTTGTTTTCAAACCTTGTCCTCCTCCATTCCTCCTTGAAGTGTCCCAGGTATCTGTTGTTCTTGTCTTTATGTCTGTGTGTACCCAGCACTTAGTTCACACTTATAAGTGAGGACATGTGGTACTTGGCTTTCTGTTTCTGCATTAATTAGCGTAAAATAATGGCCTCCCACTGCATCCATGTTGCTGCAAAAGACATGATTTCATTTTTTCTATGGCTGCATAATATTCCATCGTGTATATGCATCACATTTTCTTTATCCACTCCACTCTTTTTTTTTTAATCAATATTTTTTATTATGATATTGTAGGGTACAGTTAAGGGTTAGGTAT